TTTCGATGCATTATGATATTACACGTTAAATAAAAACAAAAAATTTCCAACGATATTTCAGAACATTTTCTACGCGAAAGTTGGATGTTTATTGCGTGTAGCGAGTTTCTACCAAAAATGGTAGAAGTCTATTTGTCGAACGAGGAATACCGAGAATAAAATCTCAGTCATTCTCGGGAGTTCCAGGCGAAGCGACAAGAACGTATTGCACGTTGCAGAGAATGAATCACTCCTGAAATCCTTCTCCCTCCTCCGACCTGACTTGGCGCGGCCTGTCCCGGCCCGGATCCAAGAGCTGGAACAGGAACTTTTGTCATCGACACGGCTGCGTGACTTTTTAAGACTTCGTACCGCGTTAAGGGGAGCCCACGATACCAAAAAAAAGTTTTATTTCTAATAATCAATTTCACCGTAATACCGTACGAATTAATTTTCAGTTTATTTATTTGTCGCTGCATTTCCTTACGAGAAAATGGTTCGTAGAACGTAGCGATTTTGCGTACGTATAAACGCAGCTGAAGTCGCGAGATTAAATAGTCGGAATAGCAGAGGGACGCCAAAGAAAAATGGAAACACGTTACGAAGAATAAATATATCGTACAGGTCGAAAGCTTCGAAGCAAGCTCTTTTGGAATCCGGCTTAATTTCCTAGCGCGTTTTTTAACTACTACGAAAGAGATTAAGCCTTCCCCGTCTTACTTCTCCTCTATCGAACAAACGAACTCGATCTCGAAGCTTACGAGCGGCCCCCGACGACGACTTCGATAGAATTTTACGTTCGATTCAGTCGGGAATGGCGATAAGGTGAGGCGATATCGTCGGAAAAACGTGCGCCTTTTCGGTTTTATCGCGAATACGATATCGATACGAGCTTATCGCGAGAGATTACGGCGACCGGCGAGCGATTAGGTTCGATTCTTTGAAACGCACGAGCGACGGGGGGAGGGGGAAAAAAAAAAGTATGCGTAGCGCGAGCACCGGGGCCTGGCGGTCGCTCGAGGCGACCCTGATGTCTTCCCATGGGTCTATGGCCCGTGTTCTACGCCAGTGTCTCTCAAAACTCTCCGTCGCGAAGAAATCTTTAACCATTTCCTTGCCGCGTCTCTTCAATTTCATTCAATTTTTTTTTTTTCAAACCGACGAGATTTATTCTCGACCGAGTCGCCGCGTCAACTAAAATTCGTTGGAAACTTCAGGCGACATCTCGTGGTCAAAGATCGAAGACGGCTGGTTCGAAGGTTTCCGCGAAGGGTCGTCAGTTCGGGCCCGTAAACTGAAAGACACTGGCTCTATACAGGCTGCACCTACAACAAACGGCCGGCGACCCCGACCGCTCTTTGTCCTCTCGACTTCTCTACACTCGCTCCCTTTCACTTCTTCCTTCTAACCGTCATTCCGCGTCTTCCTTCGTCTCTCTTTTTACCCCCCCCTCCCACTGCGTCTTTATTGTTCCCTACGCCGAGACGCGACCGGTCTTTTCTTCGTCGATCACGTTGCTTCCCCTAATTTATTTCCTCACAACTTCCCCATCTATCGATCTTCCCGCCCAAAAATCTATTATTCGCGGCCCGAACAGGAACGTTCGATTCTCCTGGAAATATCGATTCGGATTCGAAGCGACCAGTTTCGATTCCCTGGAAGACGGGACATCTACAAAAATTATGACGCAACATGGGAAAATAAATAAATAAAATAATAAATTAGAATTTAAGTATTAAGACGCAACATGGAAAAATAAATAAATAAATAAAATAATCAACCAGAATTTAAATATTAAGACGCAACATGGAGAAATAAATAAATGAATAAAATAATCAACTAGAATTTAAATATTAAGACACAACATGGAAAAATAAATAAAATAATCAATTAGAATATAATTATTAAGACGCAACATGGAAAAATAAATAAATAAAATAATTAACTAGAATTTAAATATTAAGACACAACTTTGAAAAATAAATAAAATAATCAATTAGAATTTAATTATTAAGACGCCACATTGAAAAATAAATAACTAAAATAATCAATCAGAAATTAAATGACAGATTGATCTACTAGAAAACCCGTTCGAAATCGACCATCGCTGGTCCAAAAAACGATCGGTCACGCGCGCCCCGTAACCTTCTTTCGAAAAGAGAGAAACAATCCGCGGAAACGTAATCCGAATGCCGGAAGTTGCGATCGAGCTCCGCGTGCTCTCGGTCCCTTGCCTATTTACATCGCTAACTCTCTCTTTATCCCTTTCCTTTCTTCCCTCTCATTCCGTAACCGGATTTCTCGAGAAGACCCGCCAACTTTCCGAAGATAAACCACACTTTTTTTTTTATTCGCGCAACGACGAGTCGCGGCCAAAATCTTACACCACGTATAAAAATCCGTTTCCGTGTTTGCCACCGGAGCGAATAATTTGGAATTTATATAATAAAAAAAATATTTTCGATACGTTTAGTTTACACAATATACATCAAATTTGTTTTACCGGTAACCAATAAACTTTTTAACTCGGTGAAACGTAGTTTTATTTGTGGTTTACGATCTTTTTTTACGGTTGTTTAGTTTTGCGTGTAAATTTGTTTGGTTAATCCTCGCCCACACTAAATCGAATTTACCCTTCGGTCGTATTCCATTTTCATGTACAAATTACTGAGAAGAAAGAGGCCCCGTCGAGCATGTTGAAAATTATAGACGCGTCTTACGAATTTTATCACAAAGACCGGACGAACTTGCAAAGGATTGATATCCGAGGATGGATTTTTTGTTACGTAATCTCGACCCAGTTGAGAGACGCTTCTTTGAAAACAAAATGAAGAGGCTACTGCTAGGTCCTACGAAAGAACCGTTTTTACGCAAACTTCCTCGAGGGGGAACAAAGCTCGGTAATTGCATGGATGATATTCGGGCAGAGTATATATCCGTAGTCGAACTCTACCCCGGCGTACGTATCGTCGAGCATTTTATGGAACTTTTCGGTTCGAAATGAACGATATCGTTTTAGTTATTTGAAACCAAAATAATGGACTCCGCGCAGAATCATCGTATCACCCTGCATGGTATTGTATATACCGAATGGAATCTGCGTCGGAGTCAAAGAATATACGACCAATTCGAACTACAATTAATCGTTCGCGATGATTACGACCGACGAAGAAACAAAAACCAATATTTTCTACTTCTCGACGATTAAACGCGTCAAATTGTTCCATTTATATTTCGGCCCTGTACCCCTCCGTTCGTAGCGCAAATTATTATTGGCCAGAGGTTAAGATAAAATCCATACTAGTAAACACTGAAATAAATCGGGAAGCGTGTCCCGTGGTTAAAAATACAACGTGATCGAAACCTGAAAAAAAAGCTTTCCTCTCGATGGTCGGTTTGATCCCCGCAAAGAGGGCAACGTTGCTCGACAAAAATTCTTGAATCGGCCTTTGCCGCCTGACATTTTGCATAATCCAGATCGGCTTGTTTACGTCCGTTCACGGTCCAACGTCTTTGAGAATCTCGAGCGGCGAGGATAAAACAACGAGAGAAAAAGAAAGGGGAAGCCATACTGCATCGCGCGCGCACGACGCCGCCACCGTTGCTGTTGCTGCAGCTAAAGCTGCATTCTTTCGTGGGAAGGAAAAGAGCAGGAACGACCGAGCTGCCGTGGTGGGGGAGATAGAGACCAAGGGGGGACAGGGGAGAGGGAGAGGGAGCGAGAGAAAAATCCGAGGAATGTACCAAGAGAGCACTTTGAAATCGGCTAGCAGTGGTTTAAGATTACGCCGAGTAAGGTTCTTCGAAGGCCTCTCGAATCTCCTCAAGCCGAATCCTTATGAGGCCAACTCGACAAAATGGAACGCGACCCTGATTGGCTCGATGGAGCCACGTCCAAACGAATCTCGCGTCGATTAACGTTAATAAAACTAACGTACGTCTGTCTCGATCGGCTTCTTGCACCGGTAACGAAGATACAATAATCGCGAACGTGCCTACGGGACCCTCATACGCGAGTGTCTTCTCCCCGCAAACGTGGAAAAATCACAGTAATCCAGCTTTTGTATTCTAACCTACAACTGCTCTGAAAAAAGAGTGTAAAAAAATTCCTGTCCAGCGACAACGTGCTTTATCTCTCGAGCGCGACACGTTCGTCTTTAAAGGTAACTCGTAGAACGCGATGGTAAATAATGCGTTGTCGCGAATAAAAATCGAAATCGAATCCTACGTGGAACGCGTGCTTCCAGCGAGCCTTTGGTCAAAGTGTTCTTTGCAACTTATCGGACGATCGTCGTTCCCATGAATTTACAATTTTACGACAACGATGTCTTTACGAAGGAGAGAAGACGTCGCTACGCTAAAAAAAAAAATAAAGACACCGCGCAAACATACGAGTTGATTTTATATTCGGAAATTCCCACGAGCAAAGAGGCACACCTTTCTACAAAAGTAGCTTACAGTCTATCGCACCGAGTAACCGTCCCCGGGTTTTCTCAGGGTACACATTTCGTATCGCTCGACCCGATACCTTGCTATCCGATATCTTTCGCCAAGAAAAATAGAGCCGGGCTACTGGTTTTGGATTACGAAAGTGGAAAGAAGACGTGGTTCGCGCGTCCATCGACTTATTGCATTCCTAGCCGAACAGCATCGACTACGTCTTGTACCATCGGACAGGTGGTTGAGTATCGCGACGCGTTTCGAATCGAAAATTTCGTTCGAAAGCAAAGGCGCGTACAAGGGATATAATATTCCAAAGCGCGGAGGAGCTCTCTCGGTACTTATGAACGAGGCCTTAGGCCCCACTTTGCCCCACCATTATTGTACGGTTGGCCTCGTCGACGCACTCACAAACGACCGCGCATGCGCATCGGGGATAAAACGTTATAAACACATGCACCGTTCTTGGGCGCACACAGACGCCCGAGTACGTGCAAACAAACTCACGGATACGACGGTATGAAACACGCGCTTTCAAGACATCGTATATTAAGTTGAAAAATTGGATATTCCAAACTCACCGAGAGTTCCGTACAGCAATAGACACGATAACAAAAGACGCCGGGGCCTCGCCCAGGCCCGTACGATGCATTCGCCAGCTTGCTCTCGCGACATGTTTCTTTCGTTCTTTCTCCGGTTTTCGCCTTCTTGGCTCGATGACCGGCCGTAGCGAGCACGCTCTCGGTTTTCTTTCCGTCGTTCTCTTCGTATCCACCGATGCGAACCGTTTTCCCCGTAGTTTCAACAGTCACTAAAGTACATCACCGACGCACATGGTTCCCTCACGATCCCTCCCACCTCGGACTTCTCTTTATCCAAGGAAAAACAAAACACACGACACACTTTTGCCCACCTGGAGGAACTACGAAGACGTCGTCTGGACGCTGATACCGAGCACAACACGCGTGAACGCTGTCCCGAAGACCGACGCCGTACAAACGCGCCTACCCGACTGAACGACGAGGACGCGCGATTTGTTCGCGGTACCCTGGCTTGCTCGTTGCCTGCTGCCTGCTGCCCGCCTGTCTTCCTCGCCTGCCCGTCTGCCCCGAATACTCCTCCTCTCTCGCTCCCTCTCGTTCCCTTCCCCTCACCGATCCCTTCTACGCGACGACCTACCGCCAATGCCCTCTCCGCCCCGCCGACCCCGCGCTACCAATCCCGTCGCCAGCATACAAACAGACCTCTCTCCCCACCGCTAACTACTTGTTGATCTTCCCTCAGGAACGGCAATTCCTCCATCGAACCACGCGCTTACCTTTTCCCTACCTTTTACTTACAATTTTTATTAGGTTAACCCAAATTTTCTACATTGCTTGAATTTATTTCCAATCTATATTTCTTTCCATTTCCTTCGTTAGTTATACAGTAAAAGTATTCCAACTTTTACGATCATAACGTTCGACTAATTGAATTAAAGCTTTTTATGTAATATGATACATATAGGATGTGTCCTAAGACTACACGAGTAAAATTAGAAAATAATTCAATATTTAATTGGAACAGCGTATCAGAAGTGGTTTACGAAAACTATTTAAACTCTGACGATTGCGGATTTCCGAATACCGCGGAATGTAAACAAACGTTATTTGGTTTGCTGGTAGTTGGCCGAAAGTAAACCGACTAAAAATGAATCGCAAGGAACCCGAAACAGGCGAAGTAAGGGAACTGGTATCAGGAGAATAATCCCTATTATCGTTTTGACCGTGTTTCGTTATTTACGGATTTCATGAAACAGCGATCAGCGAAACAATACACGAGCATTAATAAAACATTGTTTATCCGCTTCCATCGGTTAAAACGTCTTCGGAATTTCTCGTTTCAAACTTTCGTTATACAGTGGCCCGGTTTTCCGAACAATATTGCGTTCAATTTTCACTTTATGTGTTAAAACAATTTTAATGAGGCAGGTTAAAAATAACGGCAATTAATATATACTAGCTGTTGCTTCGCTTGCTTGCATCCGCCGTGAAATCGTTTCTGCGAACGGAATATCTTGTTTTGTTTGCGTACCAAAAATTTGTATATCGAACCAATGCGTAAATTTGCTTTCTATCAAATTATAACACGAAATACAATGCCTCGTGCAGGAATTTTGCAATTCTAAATTAATTTCCTTTGGAACTGGAATACTTGGACGAATACGACGATCGAAATTGTGTTTTATTCAATAATTTACGAGCCGGAAAATAGACGATTTCCTTAAACTGGAACGACCCGTCGACCAATTCCAAAAATCCACCGACAACATTGAAAACGCAATTGTCTGTAAAATGCACTTTATCGTGACCGTTGCGCGGAGCAAACGTGGACATTTTCCCGAAAGGCGGAGCGCTAATAACTCGTAGACCTGAATCGTATCCTGCGGTGTCGTATCCCGTACACGTTTATGGCTCGGGAATTACTATAATTATAGTGATTTCCACGCGAATTAGTACCCCTCCCCTTATCCTCGTTCGTTCTTCAGCCTCTGTCCCTCCATTTTTTCTTTTCCTTTCCTTTCCATGTCTCTTCGCGGTTTTTTTTCTGTACCGCATTAGACAGAGTAGCACGTAGTTGCGCGGACCAGTCGATTCGACCGCAAGATTCCTCGCGAATAACAATTTCCAGGAGTCGTCGTCGAATTCTCGCGTTTCATCCTCCATGAATCCACGCTGAAACGCCGACGATAAAAAACGAACGCACGTTGATCGAACAGAAAGCATCCTTTCTCGAATATACACGGTGTTCGGCCACCCATGGGAAAAATTTTAATGAGGGATTCTAGAGGCCAAAATAACACGAAAATCAAGAATATCAACTTCTTGACTGAGCCTTCGTTAAAATGTTATTAACAATTAAATTCAAAAATTTCAAATCGTTCTGGAAAAATTATTTTTGGTTGCGGGGGTCAATTACAATCATTTTTGGTGAATAAACATAACCTCGAAATCCTAACCATTTTCGAGAAAAAAATTCGTGAAAGTGGACAAATATTTCGACAAAATTAAAAAATTCAAATAGTCTTGAAAAAATTATTTTCGGTTGCGGGGGACAATTACAATCATTTTTGGTGAACAGACATACCCCCGAAATCCTACCCACTTTCGAGAAAAAAATTCGAGTAGATACTGAAATTTTTAGACGAAATTAAAAAATTTCAAATTATACTAAAAAAATTATATTTAGTTGCAGGGGTCAATTACAAGCATTTTTTGTCAATAAACATAACCCTGAAATCCTACTCACTTTCGAGAAAAAAATTCAGTAAGGGCGGAACTTTGAACGTTAATAACTGTTTAACAAAGCCTCCATCAACAAATTGCTATTCTTGATTTTCGTCTTATTTTGGCCTCTAGAATCACTCATTAAAATTTTTCCCGGGGGTGGCCGAACATCCTGTATGCAGTCGGAGCCGCCGGAACGTTTCGAACGTCGTAACAGCCCGATGTCAAATTACGTAATTGACCTTTGCATCGGTTTCAAGACCCACGACGACGTTCGCGATCCTTCGATTCTCCTGGAGCTAGTTTTAATTGAATTCCGCGGGATCCAAAATCAAACTCATTAAAATAGTAGAGGTTCGAGATACCTGGCAGGCGTTAGACGGAGTACGGTGTCCTCGAGAAAGGGAAAGACGTTGACTAAATTTACCGAACGAACTTGGACGCCGATCGATCAACGGCTTTCATACTTTTTCGAGGGGTGTCGTATTTATACGGCTATCTCCGTATTTCAGCGAGTCTAACAGCCCGCTGTTTATACAAGACACGCAATCGTCACGCTCGCATATTCGGCCAGTTCTCGAATCGAGTTGCATCGATTTTTTTTCTCGCGGTAAAGTGCCAGCAAGGTTCACGAATACGCTGTAAAAAGGTCAGGGAGCCGTACGAACTTTGTAAACGTTGGCAATATGTACTCGAAGGCGGGGAAGAGTTCGTGGCGCGGGGAGGAATTTGCGTACACCAGTTTCAAACTATTTTTCGATCGCGATCGAGGAGTTCCAAGTGTCGTGGTTTTCCACTCGAAACGGTGTCGAGCGAGGAAGTTGGTCGATGAGGTGGCACCTCCGAGGAACCCCGAGCACTACGTATTCGTCAACGAGCGAACGTGTCACGGAACCACCCGGGTTCCTCCCACTTCCGTCGTGTTCTTCACGGAAACACCTCTCGCTAAAGAATGCAATCGCGTCATCGACGAGTCACGGCGCGAGGACAGTTAGATCGTTTCGAAATTTTTCTACGAAATGGTCAAAGTAACCCAGTAGTAATTTCTAGACTGCGGATGTTTATGCATTTATGGGGAATTTTAATTCTCAAGAAACTACAGAATGCACTTAATATACTAAAATACGAATTATTATATTTTAGGGTTGAGACAATCATCTACAAAGCTCCCATTTTATTAATTCTATTAATACAAATATTAGTAATTTCTAATAAAAATTGTAAAAAATTTACTCGACAGTTTTCTCTAAAGAGAATCGATAAACATTTTTTAATTTCTTTGGTACAAATAAATACACCCCGTGTAGGTAGTTCTAACCTTGAACACGCGACGTTAATCTGTCGTCTCGGATGGTTTCGAGGTTAGGTTGCTCGTCTCCGGAGCGAAGAATCCACGATCCTCGAATTACAGTAATGATTCTTAAGAACGTTTCTATTCTTTCCAGCTGTGGGGGATCCCCCTTGCAGCCAGTGAAGCGTGACAGACGACGCTAAAAAAAACAACACGAGCTGGGGTGTCGTCGACGATTTGTAGAAAAAACAATGCTTTTTTTTTCTCGCTCGTTGTCTTTTTCTACGGTTGTCGACAAAAAGTAAAGGCGACTCCGTGGCTGGAGGACACCGTTTCTATATAAATGTCCGCCGGTGTCGAATTTCGACGTTCGTTCGAAGAATTATTACTGTTCCCGGGTACGGGGAATCGCCGGAACGAATATCATCGCCAGGATCGAAACGAAGAAGTTCCACGGAGAACCGTCGGAGCCGGGGTGCACTCGATCGAAAGAAATAATTCACGGGAATATTAAGTGCGCCATCGAAGCGGCCGATAATGGGCCACACCTTTTCACGGCGCGAGCGATAAGGCATAAACCACTGGAGGATTCACGATCGATTGCTGGTTGAAAATGAATTAAAACGAACGGAACGAAACGCGCGCGCGGAATTCTCGTAAATTTAAGCCGCCCGGTCTCTCTATGATTTCTCGACTCGTACGCCAAGTGGCCAATCCTTTTTACGCCAATTGTTTGCACGCGCGAACGCTAGGCGTCTCTGTTCGGAAACATGAAATCCGAGTCGGTTAAAATTTCCAACGGAAACGTGACACCCTTGCATCGAAATTGTGACAATTTCGTACGTATTTTTCGATAAATATCGGCGAACGACTCATTTAAAAGTCAATTATTTGGAATATAAATAATAACGTAGGCGAGTGTAACCCACCGGTTGCGTGAAAGATGAGCTATATAGCTATTCGATAATTATTGCGATTTATTCGAAACATTGTACAATGTATATGTTACATTTACTGGTTTACAACTGCATTGAATTAATTGTTATTCGCATTCGTTTCATCAAACGTTAAGGTTCAATTTTCAAACGCTTGCGGCAATGAAAGCAATTCGGAATACGTACGGGTCAATTGGAACAATAAAACCTGGGTCAAATGTAACAGTGTTATAATTGACTCCAAAGTTTAATTACTTTGCAATACAATCGCAGGCAAATATAAAATTTCGATTCCCATGAATATTTTTCCCTCGATTCCAATTTCTGCCGGCAATTTTTTTGTTGCCCGCGCAAATATCGTAAAACTGTAAAGAATTATCTACTCTTTCGAAATTTCGCTTTTTAAAAACATCCGATATTTTGTATCACGTTTCTAGATCCAATTAACCGCGTCGGAAGCTTTGACGTATAATAACGGGTATAGCAACGATCGAGCTAGGATTTCGAAAATGAATTTACGCGCACGTTAACAGCAAACAGGCTATATAAGACAAAATATCCCAAC